AACATCAGTTCACAAAACCTTGCTGGGAATGATGGGAGACTGGTGAGCTTGGAAGAGAAAGCTGTGAGCAAAACCACCCAAATCACAACCCTCCCACATCACTGGAAAATGATTTTAATTGACAAAAATGCTCTCAGCTCTGCAGACTAAAGAGCCTACACCTTACCTAGGTTGGGACTGCATCTGTCCTCAATGCCAGTGGACATATGCAGCATCCCATGTTAAAATCCCTCTCTGAACCAGCCAGATCACACAAAATAATCGGAGTTTGCTTTGAGTTGCCTTTGCTTTGTTTTCTCAGGGTAGCCTGGCACGGCCAGCCAAAAATCAGTCTTCCACAAACACTGCTAATTATCACAGATGAGCAGTGAACAAGCGCTCCCCAGCCCCAACCAGTCCAGCATGCCACTTCCACCTAAGCCCTCTATCCCTCCGGCTCCCTAAAACCCCACACATCATTATTTTACCTTGTTGCAGTGAATTCTTGGCTTGAACTGCGGGAGACAGACGTTTATTACCATCTTGGCAGTCGGAGAGAGCTCAGTTTCTGAGCATCAGATTCAGCTTGTAAAAAAAAAAAAAAGGGAAAATAAAGAAAGTGAACATCAGTGAACAGTGAAAGGATCTCATGTTTTGGAGCCTGTATGAATACAAGCTCAGTAGTTCCTAAAATGCAGCTCGGATCTGAGTCCAGGAGGTGAAGCCAATATAAACCCAAATGACTGTGGTGGAGAGACGGGATCGAGAGAAAAAACTGCGTTAATATTAATTAGTGAACCCCTGGAGAAACATCAAAGAGAAAATGGCTATTTTAACTAAAAACGTCTTACCTATGGATAGATTATCAATTAGATCTGAAAGTTTATCAAAGATGCAGGAGGTCTTGTAGATACAGTAAAGCATCAGAGTATCACACGAGGTTGTCAAAGGAATCGGTGTGAGCTCTCAGCAGCCTCAGTTGGACCTGGAGGACATGGGCTGCTCTGTGATCTGACCAGGGCGTTCAGCACCGCAGCTCCTCACCGCTGCGAGGCAGAAAGAGCCGGTGTCCATTCCCACCGCGTGGCCTGGAACCATGCGGTTCCCCTCCCACGGCACATCTATCTGCTGCCTTCAGCAATTCGAGGCTGGACCTGCCTGCGCTCTTGGACAACACCCAACGTGAGAAGCTCGGACGGGGCCCCTCGGGACGAGGGTAACACCAGCCAGCACTAACACAGCGCTGCCGCATAGAGAAATGTTTCTCGAGGGCTTCGGGAGCCTCAGATGTAAGCTAAGATTAAACACAAATATTAATAATTGGTATGTAATAGCTCCAAGGGAGCAGAGGGCATTTAATAGCTCTAAGGGAGATTATCTGTGTTCTGAACACCGACCCAGCTGATTCTTCTGACAATGTTCATTAAAGAAACTCAAGTAAATGCACCATCTTTTCCATTGAAAAAAATGTGACTCGAATTGGTTATATCAGATCCCTTTTAAGAATGAAATTATCCGCGAGGTAAGAGTTTTAACCTTACATTAACCTTAGTATTAATATGTCATTGCCTTGGGCAACCTTGCAAATCAGGAACCCACTGCTTCCTTCAAGAACAAGCAGCCCTTTAATGATTTTCAGCTGAAGCTGTTAGTTCAGCCAAAATGAAATTGGCCTTCTGGGGGCATGATGGTCCGGCCGCTGGAACGCAGAGCATTAACGAGCTCGCTTTGCCCGCCTGCTAAGCGTGCGGGAGCAGTCCGGTCTGCGCGTGATCGAGCGCAACAGTCTGAAACGAGAAATGTGGTATCCCAGGTACAAATCCAACATATAAAAATCAACATAATAGAAGCCAAGCCTGCAGAGAGCAGAGCTTGAAGGTTGCAATGCCAATGCTTGACCAAAGCAGGCGTGAACGCAAGAAGAGCTGTAGCGGGCCAGACAAGCACTCTTTCTAGCCCAATATTTG